AATACTTGGCTATATGTATGTAACAAACAACCAAACATGTGCTCAAGGCTCATTTTACTTCGCCTAGGAATCAGAGATTTTTATGCCTAAAACACCATACATTTTCGTCAACAATATAAATAAATACTATTTATATTTGTCAATTTCAGTATGAAACGATTATTTCAACACAAAAAAGCGATATGAGGACATACTTGGTCGTACTAGTGAAGCCATACTAAATACAAATAAATTTACAACGCCATGGCAACGGCAAAACATTGAAATAGAAATTGTCTAGAAATGATACAAATACTTGCCTTGAAACTCCAGACACGACTCCCAATGCCAGGTTGAGATACTTGTCTTCATACGAAGACATTCCATCATTACTAGCACTATCAGTTTGCAAAATAAAGCCAAAAACCTCTTCAGAATGCGATTCAAACATAACTACAACACAATACATTTCAACGCTCGTGCGTTCTCGTGCGCGATAATCAGGAAAATTGCTCTAAAAGATTTGCTTTTCTGCCTAAGCCAATCAAAATCCGTATCTAGGGTAAACAAACACTCCGGAAGTGATTCCTGCAGTCTTTTACAAGGAAACTGTAATGCTTTACCAAGAATTTGGCGTCCGAAGTTGGCCGAACACTTTCCGATCACAAGAATTGCCATAATAGGCTTAGATTATTTTGCAATTTCCCGAGACTGCTCCGAGCTATAGAATGGAAGATGGCGATTCTTTTGGTATATTTGTTATTATTATACGTTGAAAAGAAGCAAAAAGACGAGCATTTGAATCAGGCGGAACATTCAAAATGCAACAGCAAAATTGATAATGTGTCATTTGCATAAATTTCACCGCATTGATCATTTCAAGGTAAGAAATTCGCTTGAAATTGAGCGAGAAACAATAAAATTATATGAATATTTCTGAATATATAGTATCGATCAAGCGGAATTTTTTGGTGGTATTTTCGTATGTCTACTGCAAATACTCGCAAAGTTCTTTAATATTTAATCTTCCCGTCATATACATCGGAAATTAATATTGGCGGATTGAATTGAGTTAAGATCTGTTTTCCTTCAATTGTTTGTTAATATATGTTATTGATTGTAAAGTTGATATAAAAAAAAACTTAGGGGTGGGTCATGTCAGGTGAATATGTTTTAATTTACACTATGAATTAACCAATTAAGCGCCAGCGCTTTCCCCTTGACAAGTAAAATCGTCTGGCGTTAGACAGTAAAATAATATGTCATTAGACAGAGTAAAATAATAAAGTGGGGGTGCATCAGGGTGCAATACGACTCAATGGGTTAAGGATTATTCCAGCTCACATAATGCATGACCAACCTAAACTTTTAATATTTAGTTTAACAACTTTAATTTGGTAACAGCCAAATAAGGCTAGACACGAATAGGACAGTGTCCCATGCTAGGTGTCAGCCCAAAATACAAAAATAACAATATAACGTTAAGTAAGATTATAAATATATAGACATGAACATGTCCTATACAGCAAGTAAGTACAGGTCAAATCTGGATCAAATATCTTAGAAAGAAGGTCCTTGTTAATGCAGGAACGTTTTAAAGCTAGAAATAATCAAAAACATATCGGGAGGAGCTACATTTAGGATAAAGTTCCACAAATTAACAATTCTATTAAAGTATGACATTTTAAAAGTACTAGTTTTGCAATAGGGTATCTGCAGGTAAGACGATGAACCCCGTCTGGTTCGACTACAGACAAATGGCATACACTTTCCCATATCAAGGTCAATGAGACTGTTTCTACATTCATAGTTGGACAGTAAATCTCTGATCTCTCTATCATAGGCAAGAGGTAGAAGTTCCAGTTTTTTAAAACGTTCCACTTAAGGTAAATCTCCACGTTTTATTCCATAAACTTTGAGTTTGCAATAAAATGATTTAAAATTCTCACTTGCAAATAACTTTGCTTTCTTTTTATTTAAAAAATTCAATATAATAAAAAAGGGAATTAATATTAAAGATACACTGAAATTATATGCTGTCTTGTTTAGTTGTTTCATATACGCAAAGGCCGTCAGGTTTTAAAGCCATTATAAAATCAATATTTAAAACAAAGTTACCTTCGTTAACGTCGACTACCTTCTTTTCACCGATTCTTTCTGAGAAAGCTTTTGAAATTTACAAAATCTTGCAAAAATGCGAGCAAAAATGAAATATATTTGCAAGAAATTTATCAATCATCAAATCAAGGAATGTTTGCTATTTCGCTGTCGTCATGCAGTCGTTATAATGGAAACTTTAAATTGGACCAATCAGTGTCTCCGCTATTCATGACAGTCCGCCATATTTTTTAGATCAGTGAAGATGACCACCCATCGTTGGTCACCCACGCCCGTGATAATTGATGAAGTTTAGACTTTGCTAATGCTTTCGTTTCCCTGGGTGTAAATAGCCAGGGGGAATTAGTACCCTCACATGGCGCTTCATGCCGTCAGCTCGGGGACAAGTCCGCCGCAAGACGCGGAGTTTGGTGACAGAGTTTCAGGTAAATTATTTATAAAGATGGTGAATAATGGTCCCAAAATGCTTCCTTGCGGGATGCCGGAGGTCACCGGTGACCATTCAGAGGCAACATTTTCTAGAACTACATGCCGAAGTCTGTTGTTTAAATCATTATTGAACCAGAGCAGCAAGGGACCATCGATACCATGCACACACAGTTTTTGAATGAGAATTGCATGATCAACAGAATCAAAGGCCTTGGAAAAATCAAGGTAGATCATGTCAGTTTGTATGTTAGAATCCAAATTTTTTCCGATGTGTAAGACAGACAATAATGCATGATCGTTTCTTCAGAAAACCGTGCTGACCTTTATTAATTAGCGTAGAGAGAATTGGATAAATATGATTATGAACACAGCATTCCAATGATGCTTAACAGGGAAATAGGTCGGTAATTGGATGCTTCCTCAAGCGAACCTTTCTTGTGCTCTAGAGTAACATTGGACTTTTTCCATTTGTCAGGAACACAGCTATCTTTAAGTGATTTATTGAAAAGAGAACACAAAGTAGCACATCCTTTAATATGCAAGCAGGAATGCCATCGGGACCATGTGCTTTTGTTGTATCGAGTGTTCTTAAATATTCATAAACCTCATTAACTTCAAGTTGAATTTCAAAGATTTGCATATCTGTTCGAGGCTCATTACTCAACAGCAAACAATCCAGGTCCAACTTTGGTCCAAACACTGAGGAGAAATACAAGTTAAACAATTGTACTTTTTCACCAATAGTTGTAGCTATTTTGTTGTCATGGGTGAGGACGGTTGATTGACATTTACTTGAGTGTATTGCTTTATGGTATGACCAAAACAGTTTTGGGTTGTCGACGAGGGAATGTTTAATCTTTGCTAGATAATCTCTATGTTTACATTTTATCAAATCCTTGCGTAAGTCGCCAGAGTTTTTCTTACGTTGTTGCATTTGATTCATACGATAGTAATGTAAGGCTGTGTATTTCTTAATGAGGTATTTAACCTCATGGTCAATCCAGCCAGGCGTGTTCTTATCTACGACAGTCTTTTTAGGCACAAATCCGAGTTCAAAAATAGGTCTTTCCAAATTTGCCAAACTTCATTTATGTTCGATTTTTCAGATGCTGTGTACGAAGGCCGGTAAAATCAGCATTTTTGTAATCGTAAACAATAGGTTTAACTGGTTTAGCGCTAGCCCAATGGAGATTTACCTCAAAATCGATCAAATAATGGTTTGTAGGAAAAATACCATGCGGTTGAGAACAAGTCACATGCGAGATAATATCCGATCGATTGCAGAGAACAGTCAAGCTTGTTTCCTTTAATATGGGTCGGGCCAATTACTAAATCACTGAGGAAATTATCTGCAACTATTTCACAAAATAGTTCCTCATGCCCATTATTCGATATTGATGCAGGATAATCATGTGTCCAGTCAATATGTGGTAGATTAAAGTCACCAACGAGAATAAGTCGACAAGATTCATGTAGTATGTCTAGACTTCTACGCAAATCTAATTATGACTCTGTATTAGCGTTTGGCGGCTGATAGTATACACCCAGAATTAACTTAGGTTGACCCAAAGGGAAAATTTCCACCATGATATATTCACACATTGTGCCCTCCAGATGTTTTCGTCTTATAGAACTAAGGCCATGTTTAATAGCAACTAGAACTCCTCTGGTACCCAAGCGATCATTACGATATATAGTATAGCAATGGAGAATTTCCTTATCTAAAACTGTGAAGCCAAGTTTCACAAACACACACAATGTCATATTGATTTGCATAAACCAAATTTTGAAACAATACAAGTTTACTTATCTTGCTTCCTTTCATGTCGTTGTCATCCACCAAGGCCTTGAGGGTACGAGAATTCATGTACAAGGTTTTCAGGCCATCAGTGTGAGGGCCAGGATTAGGATAAATACCCACCAACTGAAGCTTTGACAGATTGAAAGTCAGATTGAAAGCCATGTGATTATTGTAGACGTACGTCCTGGACTTAAAAAATCCATGTTTTAAAACATAGTGTCGTCGACAAACACTACTGTTGTTGGATACATAGCGAGAGACTTCACAATAAGTAGTTGCAAAACAGTAGACAATTACAAGTAATAATATGACTAGAGCGATATTTGAAGGCTTACCTGCCATTTTAACATGTATATGCACTAACATATTTTATTGTTCATCTTTCAGTTAATTTTGAAGTAGAGCAAATGACAGATCCTTTTAGTGGTAGCTTACTCAATGTACATTGTACAATAAGTTTGAATGCTTGTGATGGTAAGGGTGGAGTAGGATTGATTTCGTAGTGTGACCATGTGCCTGCAGGTAATTGCATCCTGATATGGTAAGGGTCTCTTATAGACAAACTTCAGTTAAATTATAAAACACTTTTCTCCTTTTCACAACATTAAACAGTCTGCCCATAGTCTTCCCTGTGTTGCCAGGAGATTGCATTTTGGGGGACTGAAACTATATAAAGTACATCGAGACATGAATGTACTTCTAGTTCTACATTATTTAGTTACTGAATCAGCTATATATATATATTGAACTTAATTTCTATTAACATTTAACCCAATGTTGAAACAATGCAAGCAAGCGCTTTATCTACCGTAGGCTAAATTATAATCTCTTAGCTAGATTAGAACGTTCTGGGGTCAGTTGGGCCCGGTTGTACGAAGGCCAGACAGTTTTAACAAGCTTCCTAAACCTGTCAGTGAAATGGTATAATCGAACTGATCGAACTTTATCATTTATAAATTAAAGTTTCATTTATTATTTGTGAGTTGCATATCCATAATATTTTAGCTTTTTAAATCAATAATTAATGCTTATGTTACAACTGTTGAAAAATCCACTATCCAGTGAATAGCCCTATGCGTCCTTCGTACAACCAGCTCCTGAAAGTTCAGAAGGGGCCTCTGAAGCGACAATTAAACGCCCTTCAAATTTCTTGACACACGATTGCCTAACCGAGAATATACTGAATCCTAGTTACGTCAATGTCGGATAATGTGCAATAAAATGTAATTTTCTGTAAAACACCCATTCACCCGTTTTATTACTATGATATCTTAGGGGCCGCTAAGAAACTTTTATGATGCCCTATGAAAGTTTTGAAACAATAAAGGAGGCGTAAAGATGATAAAATAGTAACTTAATATTAGCATAAATTACCGCATTTTCCACGTCTTTCAGCTTTAAGACTGACTTAAAATCATTTATGAAAATCATATATTATTCTCCCTTAAATAGACGTGTCTTACTTATATAAACCTCTTTTCTTGCAAACTAAATTTCTAATAATGTAAAGTGAACCTCAAATTTTGCATTATTAGTCAACAAGTAATTAGTTAGGAAATGTCTAAACCAATGTCTAAACTATAAAACAAATGGTTCATGCAGGCCGGCCATCTATATTGATGGCTTTTCATGCAAACTGGTCAAGTTTGTCATCTTTCAACAGCATCTTTCGAGCTTCTTCCTTTATTTGTGAATTCTTGTAGGATTCAACATGTATTTTTGCTAGCAGTTTGTCATGGTGTATTACATGAATGGCATCATTATATAGATTGCCTGCATGACGTGACCAGCTGGGATCTTTTTTCAAAAGGAGATTGTTAACAATTGCCCGCAATAAAAAATACTCAGCCACATTGAGCGGACCTTTGTTTAAATTTTCCTGCTTGGCCAAAAGGAAATGTTTCCCTTTCAGGGGCGAAAATTTCTGGAACTCATGCCACATTCATTTTCCTGTATTTCTCTCAACATTTTGCATATTCATATCATCCTTTTGCAACTTACACAACGATTTTCTGCATTTTCCATCGCATTTGCAAGATGTCTGACACAACCCTGCAACTTTTATGCAGCCACACCTATTCTTATACTTCAAGGACCTCTTCCGTTTTGAAGAGTCACAACGACATGTCAACCTCTCGTTTCCTGTGCCTGTAAGGTTAGAAATAGCTATTGAGCTGTTCGTTGATGTTGGTGTATTGGCCTCTTGGTGAGATCGATTTCATCAAGAATGATTGCATTGTAATGACTGCCTCCAGCATTGTAACACGCTAAAAAGGCAGGTGTGGCACTGGTGTCACATTCCTTGGACAAATATCTGTGAACGGAACATTATGTTCTGTCGACAGGATCATTAATGGTAGTTTTAGAATGTTTGCTAAAGTGAGTGGCGTGGAATCACAGAGAGAGCCAGCGAATGTTCCCTTTTTTTCTGTACTTTTCACTTTCTTGCATAAATGCCACACCATCATGAACTTGATCGTTTGATCGGAAAAAATGTGCATAGTCCTCTTGAAATTCTCCTTGCCATTCATTTACTACCAATTCCCTTAATTTGTCAGCTACGTCGTCTATGGTCCTGTTTTGAATGTTTATTCCAAGCTCTAGTAAATGTTCTGCTAGTTCTGATGCTCTATTGTTACAATTGTTTGACAGCTGTAAAAGCAACAGACTTTAAATAGACAGTCCCCATCTTTTGGAATTTCAATTACGATGTATCCCAATTGTTTAGCCAGTTTTTCCACATCATCATCGCTATTCTTATAAGAAAACAATTTTGAATTTATTTTGCAATTCATTATTGCTCTTACAAGGCTTGGAATTTCTTTTTTCTTCAAACATTTCTCACCTAAAACAGTTTGTGTTGTAAAACTTGCTGCCCACCATGCAAGAGCTTGTTTAATTATTTCAAGTATCAGACAGCTTGTATTGTCCGTACTTGATGTAACTTGGTCGTTTTCCTCTATCTTAGACACCTTTACGATTTGTTGTTGGATATATGCTTGTAACTGTGTTAAAATTTCACATGTAAAGCCTTTAATTGGTAACACTTCTGCAGGCGTTTCTGTATGTGAAGTCATGATGAACATAGACATAGTCCTCTTCTTAGGTCTGATTCCAAACACTTCTTTACCATTTGTATTACAGTTACTTTGTGTCGGTGTACTTTCTGATAATATCTCGGTGTTGTCTTCATAAAGTTCTTTTGCTGCAATTACCTTTAACTCTGAAGTTGTTGGCCAACTGTCCGTACAATCTCTGTCCTTGTTTATTTTCATAAATAAGCTGTTTGATCTTGTGTGGCTGAGCTCGACACCAAGTCTGTTAGTGCTAACAATCTTGTTCATTTCTCAGGCATGTCAATGCCTGGGTCTGCCCATGCTTGGATGATATCTTGCGCGAGTGTTGCACGCGCGATCTGTCAGTAATGCGTCTGTTAGAATATTCGCCCCTTGTGTGAGTATTTTAGTGAATTCGGGCGTTTGCATCAAATCAAAATATAGTATATATGAGCGACAGGATTATTTTGGTATATACAATGCAAAGAAGTCGGTATACCATTCAGTTTTGATGTAATAATTGGCTCTTTGTATAGCAATAAGTATTGTATCATTTGCGACAGCTGACCTTTGAACTGCTGATAAATAAAAGCTTATAGTGTGCTATCTTGCGATTATTCAGTATTAATTGTCGACTGTTTCTTATTTTCAATGAAAAATAGCTTGTGAATTACAAATTAATAGCACATATAATTCACTTGGTCTTTTCCACCATGGCACACTTCCCTTCAAGCATTAACTATGCTTCAAGATATTGGCTTGAATGCGCAATGAATGTTGTTATTGGAAATATAATATCCCTTACAATAAGCGGCAGACTGTTTCATTATGGCGCGTGAAATTCATCACACGAAAAACGCGTTCGACTTGCAGCAGGGTAATTTGACAAAATTTTGCTATGTTTGTTAGCTAAAAACATTAACAAGGGAACAAAAGTTTCCTGCATTAATTTGGAAACCGTACATTTATTTGTAGATAACATTTAATGACGCGATTAATATTCGTTTGATGCCGATCATCGTAATATAGCCGCATAAAATAATGAAACGAAGTCTAAATGTAAACTTTCCGAATTTATTCAATAAACAATGATATTATGTGTGAATGATTATCGCAATTCTGCGTCCTCTCAGTCACGAAATATACTGCTGCAGAGCCTGAATAAAAAGTATCATTTTTTGTGTTGTTTTTCGAAATATACATCACGTGATCGTTGCCATGACAACGAAAAGTAGGTCAACTTTTAGAATCTCCTTTGATAAATCATATAAAACTTGAATGGTAATAATCAAGGCCATACTTATTTTTTTTATGATTTTTTGTTTATTTTCGCTAAATACACAAACTGAGACCCAGGCATTAATGTACATGAGTTCTCTGTGAAGTTGTTCATCTCTACTTGTACCACATCCAATATCTATTCCTGACAAGCAACCTTTTGTGACATATGTCGTTTTAAAGTATTAATTTTGGACACAACTTTTTTACTCAGGATTTTTGATAAATCACTATGCTTAACATTTTCCCACTTGGCTATAATTTTTTAAAAATTATTCAAGATAACTGCTAGTGGGGGAGTTGATTTGGTTCGGTTGTTTCCAATGTCATTAGCATGGTGAAAAATTAAACCAAACTTGTTGCTGAATTCTTTCAAATATGTTTTCTTTTAGGAACTTCTTTTACTACTCTTTGTACTGCATGAAACAAGTCAAGTTCCACAGATCGCTCAAACTTTTTCTTCATATCAACAAACATATCACACACTTCTTCAAAATTTTCTTGATTGGTAAGTTGCCATTGCACGACCTGACCTTTCTCATTTAAGATGCAAAACACCGCTTTGTACTGAGTTATGCATTTCCCATCACTATCCCGCTTGCAGTCAATATTGGCAGTTGTTTTGTAGGTGTGGTCACAGCTTATCCACTCTGCTTTGGTTGATGAAAAAAGTTCCTCAAATTTGGCTTCTGATTTTTTGAAATTTGCAACTAAAATATCGGTTATCAGCTTTCGTGTTGGCATGTACTGCTTATTTTGTTGATAAATACTTTTAAAAGACGGAGCATCTATGTCCTTTCTCTTTGTTAAACCCATTTCTTTGGAGTAACGACAGTCAGCCCAAAATCATTCATCCTTTGCACATATATAGTGCTTATATCTTTCATGGATCAGTGATTCAACCATGCATACTGGAATTCCTGCATCGATTTTTTCTTCCATCCATTCAGCACACCGTTTTGTCATTCCAGATCTATGTTTTAGGATGAATGTCATGTAACAGTTAGGAATTCTGCATATCTCTGGATCAGTTGCTGGCACTTCATTGTGACCGTTGTCACATTTATAAACTTTGCTTACCAAGAAGATTATTGAGTCTAAATCGTAAACAATTCTTGGATTCCATCGAGCAGTGGGATCCATCTTTCTATAATTCAGTTTGCATCAGCTGGCTATCCTTTAATTCGCAACTGTCATCATGTTTGCAATCATACAAAGAACAACTAAGTGGTTTGTGTTCGAATAGAAATGGAAACTGAGAGGGGGTCAAATAAAATGTAGGAGTGGCGATAATAAAGTTTCCAATCAGGTATCCAGCTATTACTAACAGTTGGAAAATTGACTGAAATGACTATCTTTTAATAACTGTTTGTCAAATAATTTTCGTGGCTTCTATCAAGGCCTTCTTAGTAGCATAATCTAATGGGAACAAATCCCTGTTTTCCACAAAGCAAATAAGCAAAATAACAAGCAGCTTCATGTAGTAATTTTTCTATAGATTGTTCACTCCCTAATACATATTGCATTGGCTAACTGCGAGAATGTTGTTCAGAGAAACTCAAACCTTTTATTCTTTCCCATATGCCTTCCTGTTAAAGCTCTTGCGTTTTTGTTTGTTGGGACATTTTGTCATGCCTTTATGTCGCACCTTTATGTCGCACCTTTATGTTTGGAAAATGGCCTTCGATCACAGTAAAACAACGAAAACTTTAACTTAATAACATTTCAGAGATGATCTAAGTTTTCCACCTTTTTGTTGCCCTATGGAATTAATGCCATCACAATGTCAATGGAATTACCTGGTTAAAAATATTAATCAGGGGTGGACCATTAAAAATCCCGGGAGGGTGGGTATAAAGGGTGGGTATTTTTTAAGTTTCATGTCTCTGCAGGATTTTTTTATGCATTTAACCTCTGCAAGAATTTTTTTCAAGACTATTTGCACTTTACTGTTTGCTTGCACGATTTTTTTCCTCTCACATAATGGCTGAGCACATTTTTTCCAGGCATTTTTCTTTGCACAAATTTTTGGGGGAAATTATCAACACCCCTCCCCCTTCCAGGATTTCTAATGGTCTGCCCCTTAGTTGTTGCAAAATGTCCCAATGTCAATGACAATGTTTTTTTTTATATTTATGAAATTCATCATTGGTTTTTAATTGTTCTTAGCATCTCTATTTGTAGTGTTCTTGTACCATAATACTTCCAGGGTACTTATATATTTAATAGAGATTCATGGATGTAAATTTCATATGTAAAATTTTGTAAACAAAACTCATGTTCTGTTATTATTATTCTTGTAAAAACTTTATGACTATATTGTTGCAATTACAAAAAGCCAGTTTCTCTTAAAATTTGAAACTTCTGGTTGAATAAACAGCCCTGTAGCATGTATATACACGATCACAAAACATGGATGTTTTGATAGATTCAATAAGTATGTGATTGGCTATATAAACAGTGCTTCCATTTTCAAACAACATAATTTCCTTCAAAACCTTGGAAATTTCCTTATTTTCGGAAAAATTTCCTCGCAATAAAAGTTATTGAATTTTAACTAGTTTAAACTGATTTTATAGTAATTTATCTCGACTAACAGGGTAGTTCTTGTTCTAGAAGGAACATAGACGTTACAGGGGTTGAATTATCAAGAGAGAGAGACAAAGAGTTTACGTAGATTAACACGAAGGAGAATAAGCAGGGGGCGGGGTCTGGGGGTCCTCCCCCAGAAAATTTTCAGATTTTACATCTCGCAGGACAGGATTTTCAGCATATTTTGCAGCACATTTCCTTGGAAATTGCCGTATTCTTAGGACTTTTAGAAATAAGGCTCGGCAGAAAATCCAAGACTTGAAAACTTTATTTAACAATTTAACTCATATTTTATATATAGAAATCTAACTTAGAAGGGTCAATAGTTTGATAAGAGTCAAACATTCAATAATATAAATAATATGTCAACTACACAACTAGTTTAGTATAAATAGTAGTTACCAGAACAATGCCAATTTGTTCACCAAACTTTACAGTTAACACTGTCATTTGTCAACAATATAAAACAATAAAGCAAACGAATATTTGAAAAATATTCATTATTAGGACAGTTTACTTAATAATTCTTTTCTTAATTCCTTTGTTTCTTCGTCAGTGGCGTATGACTTCATCTTGGCTGCTAGTTCCAACATTCCTTTATGAACTCTTAAGCTGGCAGCAGTTAAGTGCTCATTCTTCATTCTCATCTTCGCCTGAAGTAAGGAAACCAATGACGTCGATTTCAAATAATTTCTCTGATCCGTTTTAACCAGCTTAAGTTGGCTAAAAATTCTTTCAACAGATACATTTGAAAATGGTAGTGAAGCCAGAATACTAACAAATGCCATCAACAGTGGATATTTTGCTTCGCCTGTTGGGGTCGTTGTGTCCCGTATGTTTAACCAGTATTCATCCCAGTGAAGTTCAGGCTTTGCCTTTGGCTCAAGTGCATGTTGTCTCCACTCCATATCAAGCTTGTTGAGGTCGATGGTATCTTTCAAGTACGGTAATTTCTGACAAATGCTTCTCAATGAACGAGGCTTGAGTGCAGCGGCATTGGACGGTAAAAGGCACTGAACGATTTCGTGAACTGGATCATCTAAGTCAAATCGACTTTGGATTTGTAGAATGCTCTCGATGAAAAAATTCTTACAGGTCGTTAGGAAGTTATCAACATCAGCTTTCCCTGCCACGCTAGCAATTTCGTGGATAGTAGCCGTCGCTCCAGGGCCAACGTAGGTCTCGCTTAATGGTACGTGTTGGTTGACGTCAGTTGGGTTTAGCTTGTTTGGCGACGTTGACTTTACGATGTCGATTTTCATAAAGTCACAGGCAATTGACTTGATAAGGCTTTCTATTTCTGGTTTTAGCATGTGGAGGAGAGGACGCTCGCTCTAAAACAATCTGTTAAATGCATTAAGACGCTCGAGTTGATAGCTTAAGAACTCCAGATACGCCTGGGTAAAACGATTCTGTAATGATGCCAAAATGCGATCGTTTGAGTGTGATGGGTCTTCGTTGGCTGTCAAGGTGAAATAGCGGGTCAACGCTTCGAACTGTTCAAGTAGTCGGTTTACGCACTCTTGTAAAGAAAGCCACCGCGTCTGCGCGGGTGATAGAATCTTGA